TCAGAAACTGCTTTGGCTGGCTAATTCTTTGAAATGACCTAGTGAAATAAAAGTGCAATATCTAACATCATAAATAAAATGAAATAGACTGTCTGCTCTTTTGCATGGCTGGATGAATGATATGACTTTTCTGATAGGCAACAGTTGTGCATATATACATACATAGTTGCTTGTTCCTAGACCATGACAGTTTCACATCATGTTTTCTCTGACATATTTCCAAACTGGTTTGGCACTGAATTTTAAAAATCCCATAAAACTACCTTTAACATAACTGACACCCCTGAGTGCTATGGAGAGCAGGCCTCCATACTTCCATCATGTTTGCTTGAATTTTGAGGAGAGGAGAAAGGAGACCTCTTAATGTAGGGAATGCCTAAGTATGTAGGAGTTGAAAGGATCATGAAAGGATCATGAAAGCTCCAATGGGATAATGAACAGGAGAGGCAGAACAAGCACAGAAAAATCCTAAATAAATCTCTGAATGGGAGTTCTCTGTAAAAGAGACTTCGAAATGAAGTAATTCTGACAGATGTTATTGAAACAGGATCAGTGGAACGATGCAATGCTGACATACGAGCTAACCAATACATGGAAGTAAAGTTCTCCCATGCTTACATTTACTGTTGCCTCCAAGACACCAAGAGTCTCAGTGCAATTTGTCTACAATGGTCTATTGCCAGGAAGATCTATAGCTACCAGCCAATTACTTTGTTGTTGTAAGGAGGCAATAATGCAAGAGGGAATGGTTGTTATTAAGATCCTGCTGTGTCAGCCCTTCAAAGTAGACCAGACCAAGTCATGAATACTACAACCACTTTTATTATATGGTTCCAGTAACAGAATCTTGCAACTCTGAATGTGCCTCTCCTCTCCCAGCTTTTACCCTAAAGAGAACTAGGCAGGGTCAAGTGTGAGATGGTTTCTCAAATTCCATTCCTGCTTTAGGCTGAGATTTCCCTTATCCAACCATTGCTTTGGATGTGGCTCTTCCTCCTCTTCCTCATGGTTATTCTCACAGCCTATTACATGCTGTGCTGTCTCATTATGTGTGTGTGTGGGCAGGCATTCCTGAGAAGTATGAATGAAGAATACCATGAGGTAGGTGCCAAGAGTATATCATCCTAGCAGAGTCACCGAAGATGTGAAGGATGTCAATTGACAAATAGCAACTGGTTTAAAGATCAAAATAAAGATGGAAGAAGTATATTGAGATTCTGCACAATAGAGATGTGGACTTTCAGGAAACCTTAGAAGATATTCCACACTTACAACAACCTCCACTAGTAGAAGATGTATTGAGATCAGCACTCCAGTAATTGCCAAGTTGCATGTCTACAGGAATTAATGGAATATCTACAGAAATATAGTAAGCCACAGAAAAATAATCAGAAAAGGTTCAAAACAAGCTGTACAGCAAATCTAGAGAATGTCATAGCAGGCAACAGACTGGAAAAGGTCAGTTTACAAAGAAAGGAGACTTAACAGAGTATGCAAGCTATCATACAATATCCTTAATTTCACATTTTAGCAAAATAATGTTGAAAATCATTCAATGCAGATTAGACCCCTACATGGAAAAAGAGACGCCAGATGTTCAAAAGGCTGGGGAACATGAGATATTATTGCTGATGCATGCTGAATAATTGCACTACGTTCTCTTGCTGAGCTACATCTGGATCATTTGGAAGTAATCCATTATTACAACATAGTCTTTACTATGTAGTGTGAACAAATCAATACCTTATTTTCCTATGGGGCCAAAAATGATCCTTGTAACCTGGAATATAGGTTTGACAAACTTTATCCTAGGTAATCCATGTTTCATTATCAGAGTGTATGGTAAAAAGTGTACTATGTTTCTGGTATGTCTCTTGAATTTCTCAATCCTTGTGTTAGTTTTGTGTATGTGGCTAACACTGTTGGCCGTAATGAGTGAGGTGTGATGACGCAGTGACCTTTGAGAAGCACACCTTATTATTTGGAAAGCTCAGACAAGAGAGACCCAAAGCATCTAGGTATCATCGGTATTATATATCCTTATAAATAGGCATTGATTTGTTCACACTGCACGATAATAACTAATAATGAATTACTTTGAATGTAACATCACGTCTCCCAAACCCACAAATGGACCTGCAGAAACTGGCGCGAGGATTGTCAAGACTTTCCAAAGAAAAGATAGAAATGCTGCAGAAGATCATTGTCTTGTGTCTCCCTTTTAAGGTAGGAAGTCCCCAGCTGAGCTTTCGTTCGGGAGGAACATAATGACATGTTTCCCCATTGTAAATTGGAAGCCTTAGAAGGACTCTGTGTTACTGAGCAAAAGTTTTAAAGAAGATAGAATTCTCACTGTAATGACAAAGCTGTATCTCTATGCCTGCTCCTACAAGATGAAAGTATCTGAATCAAAGATCCAGCCTACTGGGGACATATAGCCAAAGTGATACTATAAACTCCTGCAATATCCTCTTGGTCAGAACAAGATCAGAACAGATTCTTTGACATAATCAAAAGGCACATAATAGCCTGAACACTATTAATAGAAAACCAGTAAAATGCAGGTAACAAAGGATATCCAGATGCTACTCTACTCTACTATGCTATGCTATGCTATACTCTTCTCTGCTCTACTGTACTGTACTGTATTATATTACCCTACACTACTGCCATACAATATGAGTTACACTGATGGACATACAACCATGGTGTTGAACCAAGTAATTGAACAGTGTTGAGAGGTATGTGGAAAGGTTATTTCATTGAGAAAGATGCAATGTAAGTTGGCACATTCCAAAGGTGAACCTCCTTATTTTAAAGAGAACAATTGTGTTTTCCTTGCAACATCTAGAATGATTTTTTCTTGGGTTCTTGATGTGGTCTGCACAGATGATGTTACTTAGCCTGATAATGAAAAATCTTCAGGAAAAGAAGAACATTCCAAGAACACCAAGAACCCAACAGTTCAACCCTGAGCTACGTATGTTTTATAATATTGAAATTCTGTTTTGTTTCAGGTCAGAGTGGATTGCTAGCTGATCTTCATAAAAACAGTTCACCTCTTGTCTTTGTACAAAAACAAAGTAACTGGCCAGTAGATATAGACCTTCCAGACAATAGACCATCATAGACAAATTGTATGAAGATTCTTGGGTCTTGGGAGGCAATAACAAACATGGGAGAACTTTACTTCCATATGTTGGCTAACTCGTATGTCAGCATTAGAACTTTCCAACTGATCATGTTTGTCAGAATTACTTGATTTCAAGGCCTCTTTTATAGATAATTCACATGACTGAATTACTGACAAATTTGTTTAGGATTTTTGTGTGCTTGTTCTGCCTCAGCTGTTCCTTATCCCATTGGAGCTTCTATGCTCCTTTCAGTTTTGGCCTCCTACATACTTAGGTATTGCCTATACTTAGAGGTCTCCCTTCTCCTCTCCTCCAAATTCAAGCAAACATGATGGAAGGAGGGAGGCGTGCTTTAGGCACCATTCATCTATTTCCATAGCACTCTCATAGCAGTTATGTTAAAGATAAACATAAAATATGTTTTCCCATATTTTATAGGATTTTTAAAACTCAGTGGCAAACCGATGTGGACACTAGTCAGAGAAAACATGATGTGAAACTGTCATGGTCTAGAAACAAGCATCCATGTACATATAGCACCACGAGTGTTGCCAATCAACCCAGATTTGCTAGTTGTTTAAATTATCCCAGAAAAAGGAAAAGTCATATGATCCAACCTGCACTGCAAAAGAACAATCTATTACATTTTATTCATTATGTAAGATATTGTATTTTATTTCACTAGGTCATTTCAAAGAATTGGCCAGCCAAAGCAGTTGCTGAAATGGGAAGAACAGTTAAAAATGTAGGTACATACTTAATATTTCAGGAAACAGAGGTGGTCTTCTTTCTTATGTTATGCAGTTACCCAGAAATTTGTTTTTGCCTTGATTAATTTTAGGCAATGTGATTAGCTGTTATAAAATATTTGTGAATAAAACCGTTCTTCTGAATACATTCCTTGTTGTTTTTTTTCACACAGTCCAATAAAATCCAAGCCAGTCCAACAGAATCAAATCCAATTAATTATTCATCTTTTGAGTATTCAAAAAGACAAATAGAGGAAAAATTCAAAGTATATATTACAAAGCTTGCTGATTTATTTTCTCTTTCCTGTCCCCTTTCATACTGTCATCTTTTTCTCAGCCATTGCTCCGTCCTTCTCAGCACTCTGTCCAGGGCCTCCTTCACCTGATCGTTCCTCAGACAGTAGATCATGGGGTTGAGAAAGGGTGTAATGGTAGTGTAGAAGACAGTGACTATTTTAGTGACACGTGACTGACCTTTCCCACTTGGAGCTACGTACATTCCTGCCACAGAACCATAGAAAAGGGTCACCACCATGAGATGGAAGGATATGGTGGAGAAGGCTTTCTTCCTGCTACGTTGGCAAGAGGATTTGATCAGTGTGAAAATGATAGTGCCATAGGAAATAGTGACAAAGATTAAGTTGCCTAATATGATGAAAGTATTCATGGCAAATAGGATAAGTGGAGCATTTCCTAATGGAGGGCAAGCTAAGGACAGGATCCCTTGATCACACAAAAAGTGGTCAGAGACATTGGGGCCACAGAAGGACAGCCTAGAGATCAAAATTATTGGGGCAGCATATACCAAGAACCCAGCAATCCAGCAACCAGCTACAAGCTTGGAACAGTTTGTTTGAGACATAATTGTTGGGTAGCGGAGTGGGTGGCAAATGGCCAGATAGCGATCCAAGGCCATGGTTGAGAGGAAGAAGCATTCAGTGCTGCCAAGTGAGTAGAAAATATAGAATTGAATGAAACAGGCTTGGAAGGAGATGATCCCTTGTGGAACAGCCAGATCAGAGAGCATACGGGGCATGGTGGTAGTCACATAACACATCTCCAGCAGGGAGAAGTTACCCAAGAAGATGTACATAGGGAGCTGGGCTAACTGGGCATCTACGTGTACCAGAGTGATAATAGTAGTATTCTCAGCCAGAGTGCTTATGTAGATAATAGTAAAAATGGTAAGAAGGAAGAACCGTTTTTGCTGCCCACTCTCCAAACCTAGCAAAATGAATTCTTGGACTGTGGTCCCATTGGCCAGCTCCATCTGGAATCAGAAGAAGGAGTCAGAATTACACATCGTTAAAGATTGTCAAACATATCAATAGATTTCCAACAAATTTCTAAAAGGGCTGAGCACTGGATTACCAAATCCACAAGAAATGGTCTGGCACAGTGGATCTCTTCTTCTTCTTTTTATTATTAATTTTTTGAATACAAAAAGATAAAAAACTAACAAGAGGTAGAAATCAAGAAGAGGAATAGAAAACAAGCAAGAATAAAGAGAGAGGGAAAAAAGCAAAAGTGCAGAAAAGTAAAAAAGAAAGAATGAAACATAAATACAGAAAAAGAATGACTTCCGACTTCCTTTACAGCAGATATAAGTAAAACATACATTAAACTCTTTCTCTAGGATTTCATCTTAACATCTATTTTTTCTATAATCTTTTAATTTTACTAATCGTCAAATCCATATGTCATAATTTCATTTTTTTCTGTTTCCCACAAAAAGTCCAAAAGGGGACTTTTCAATTTCCAATTAGCTTTAAAATTAGCCAATGTCTTTTCTCTCATCAAAGCTGTCAATTTCACCATTTCAGCTAGGTCCATCAACTTTACAATCCATTCTTCCATCGTAGGTAATACCGAGTGTTTCCATCTTTGAGCCTATAAAAGCCTTGCTGCAGTTATCATACATAAAAACAAAAGTCCATGAGGTTTTTCCAACTGTTTGTCCATCAGCCCCCAAAGAAATGTCTCTGGTTTCGATTGTATATTAATCTTCAAAATCTTCTGAATTAGTATTTGAGTCCAAATTTTTTTAGCTTTATTACATGTCCACGGACAGTGGATCTCTTCTAAGGCTGTCCTTAAAAATCTTCAAGAAGGGTGACATTGTCTTCTATCACTGGAGCTTTTCCAATAGTGTTATTAGAGTATAATAGAAATTGAAAATTAAATGCTATTATATCATCCACACGGCTGTCTTGACTAAAATGTTTAAGCTGCACCAAACCTCAGATGCCTTCATCCCACCAATAGCCAAGTAAACCATTTCATATAGTTTAGAATGTAGATGAACAATACATGATAAGAGACATCTGCTGACATTGGCCGATAGATACAGCCTTAGAACTGCCCCTTTAACATGACAGTAAGTAACAGAGCCAAACATGGAGGACAACAGGGTGTGGGTGGGAGGCATTGGAAAAGATAGCACCTCTGATTAAAACTGAGGTTGAACACCAAGATGGAGATATGCAGAGGTAGATACAAAGCTTTGCATGCTTCTAGGACTGTTGTGATGCAATGAATAACAGCACCTGCATTTAGACCCTACAGAGATATTCAGACTTCCAGGAGCCTGAGACAGAAGCTTCCCATTCAATGTACTATGAACATCAGGTTCCCCCCAGATCAGGAGCAGAGAAGCTAATTTGAGGCATCCTACATGTCCAGTACTTGTGTCCTGTGA